GACTCAGTTATGCCTGGTGATGACGGTGCTGTTCTGTATGAATGTACTTTACATGAAATGGTCCAAATAACACAGGTGGCATTTCCCGAGCAACAAATCAACTCGTCCATAAGTAAATCACAATCAATCAAAAACAGCAGAGATTAAGATGATCCCTTATTCAACTTGAATCACATTAGCATTAGCATATTCTACTATTCCTAAGACTGAGAACATTTCTACACCGCCGTGTAAATGTTGTTTCACATTGCTGTCCTGACGTTGCTGTCCTGTATGAATGTTTTTACATGAAATCAACAGAATAAAGCATCCTGCAGCAACCGACCACAAAGTGAGGGTCGAATGCAACACCCTGAAAGCTCAGAGCCAATATTTCATGTACTAGAAATTAAACACAGAAAACCGAGTGCTGTGATTGGCTGAAGCAGCTGTCACTCACATGTCTGGTCCTTGATGACCAGGGGTCCGGCGGTGGCCGAAGCTCTGCTGGGTCCGGCTGCGTTCACGGCTTTAACCCTGAACTCGTACTCTATTCCCTGAACAACAACAACAACAACAACAACACAGTCAACAGTGAGACTCAAGCTTCATCGTGTATACATCACAGTACTTCACTTAGTTCATCAATGAAACGTGGAGCGATACCCCAGACCAGGAGCTCTGTATCAGAGTTGAATTGGTCTTTTTTAAGCAGGATGTCTTTTTGTCATTGGTTGGTTTTATTTGTCAGAAGGTTGACAGAAAAGCTCTGGGTCTGATCTGCATGAAACGCAGTGGATGTTGGTCACTGAGTCAAAGCTACATCCTTCCACTGAATGTCAGGCGCATTGGGCCAGGAGCATTTCCGTAATGCTTCTGAGCAACAGACAAACCGGACCATACAAAAAGAACCTTAGTTTGTTGGGGCTAATATGATAGCATGTGATAAATGACATGTTAACAGCTACACTAACAAACAGCCTGGAAGAAGAAGAGCCCATCAGGAGACTGGGCTGTGGGTGGATCAGGGAGAGGAGCATGGTGCTATGCTTCAGTGTTATTGAGCAGTGATGAAGGCAGGAAGCAGTAAAGGATCACATGACGCACCTCCTTCAGGTCCTCCACCACGAAGGTGAGCTCCTCCACGTCCCTCTTGTTGCACTGCTTCCACGTCTCCTTCTCCTTGCCGCTGGTGTCCCAGCTCAGACGCTCGATCACGTAGTGCTTCACCGGAGAGCCGCCATTGTTCTTGGGAGCCTCCCAGGTCAGGGTGACGGTGCTCTTCGTCACCAGGTTCACCTTCACCTTGGTGGGGGGGTCGGGGGGGTCTAATGAGGAGGAGGAGGAGGAGGAGGAGGAGGAGGAGGAGGAAGAGGAGGAAAAGGAGGAAGAAGAGGAGGAGGAGGAGGAGGAGGAGGATCGTGTCAAATGGTCATAGAATCATTTAAAACATACAGACCTGATTGCCTTCTACTCTGTCACAGTGTGGTGTTGGTCTTGTGTTTGTTGAACAGAGACAGATGTTAGGGGTTGCCTTTCAGGAGGCAAAGGAAGTAGAAGGTGGATTCAAATGGATGAGGACTGTGTGTGTGTGTGTGTGTGTGTGTGTGTGTGTGTGTGTGTGTGTGTGTGTGTGTGTGTGTGTGTGTGTGTGTGTGTGTG